TAGGGAAACTAGTTATGTTCTTGCATGCATCATCGGAACACCATGAGGTGCAGCTCCATTGAAGCCGTGAGCCTCAAGCTCCATTCTTGAACTCAGGTGAGGTTCATGGTTCAATATTTGTGTTTATTAATCATATGTTGGTTCTAGGTGAAGTTATGGTCAGTTTTAAGCTCAAATTCGAGGGGTTTTAACCCTGTCAATATATGTGCATGCATGTCTTCCCTGACGACGAACTCCGGCGAAATGCCGTCGAGTTCGAAGTTGTGGGTGTCCTTAGTACATTAAATTTCTCCCTCTTTGTCTCTATGATAAATTGGGTGAAATGTTGAATGACATTCGAGCCCTAACTCTGCATGCACATCTTTATCTCTTTTCCAGTTTTCGACGAGCGTGAATGGACATACTCAGTGGACCCCTGCGCCTTTCAGGCCATTTTCCAGCCAAAACATGACAATTTAGCCATCGAGAAGGATATGAATCTGTTCGTCTCATTCTGAGGTATGATTTTGGTATTTGAATCACTCAATTTCATTAAGTATTGACAAAGTTATGGACATTTGAAGTTTGTCCAGTTTTCCGATGAGTTACCCAATTTGTCTGGGACCCCTCTTAGCGTAGTTCGATGCGCTATTCCGAATCCACCAACCATTTTCTCCAATTTGATCATTTAAGTTGAGTTTTACTAATGTTTTCCTATATTATGCTCAAGTATGATTACTATTGAAGACTTTGACTTTCTTACTATGATTACTATTGAGTTTTACTAATCTTTTTGTTTTTATGTATATATGTGTATATGTGATTTCTTCCCGACAACTGCTTTTATATATTATAATGTGACATGTCATATTTAGCTTTACAAATAGACTTTTCATGCACTTTATGTTTTTAATATTATTTGTGAGCCTAAACTATGGCATGACATCCTTGCATTCTATATGCTCATTACTACATATTTGCACGTTGTCTCTTAGCTATTTGTATTGTCCTAGGCCAAGGACTAGCTTCACGTGTAGTTCACATGCACCGTTTACATTCGCTTTGGATCCAGAGTTAGGTGTTAACTTGTCCTTTTGTGTGATGTTTTGGACTCGTATGTGATGCGACTAGAGCAGCTCATGTGATGTAGTACTAGAATGTAAAACCTACACCCAGCCTGTTCCATTGTTTGAATGTCTCTACAGTGGACTTGTATGCCTACATAAATTAATGGGCATTGACTTCCTGTAATAACGAATTGAGATTTGATGTTGAGATGCGTTCTTGTTGTGCCTACATCCAATAGCTTACTTGTGATGCAGGGTACCTATTACATACTATTATTATAATATTTTTGGGAAATCATATACTTGTTTTATAGCGAAGGATTACACTTTTCAAAAAGGTTTTACAAAATTTTATTTTTCAGGCATACTCACCCTTGTTTTTGGCCCCTCCAGGATTGTAGTGGCAAAGGTTTCGTGATGGCGCGGATTGCTGGTAAAAACTATCATATAGGAGACTTATCCTTTCGGTATAATTGTCCTTCCTCTTCTTTTACTACAATTTATCTATATTCTGACATCACTTGTGTGATATAATTTCAATCCCGCTCACATGCACACTCTAAATTAGTCACTTTTAGGTTTTTATTTATTCACATTTTCCACATCACTACACTTTATGGCTTCGTCACCTTCTTGGTGTCGGCCAGCACATCATGATTCGGGTGTCCAGGTAAACATTCTGAATTGGAGTGTGTCATAAATACTGCCAAAATTTAAGTTAACCTGGTAATTACATGAATAAATAGAAGAGGTGAAGATGAAAAGTTAGGGCTTTTTCAGTAGAGAAAGAAAGACAGAGGAAGAGTGATATATAAGAGGAGAGAAGACTGCAACGTGAAGGAAAGTCAGAGGAAAAGTCGAAGCAGAGCATGTCGACGATGGTCGACGCGTGGATAGGCTGACGTCATTCCCCTATGCGAAGGACGAAATGCCCCGCATCTTGGCTTGAAGAACTTCCCCAACCCGAAGATTAGCTCAGAAACCATGGATCCTTTGTTCTAAATGCACGATTTATAAAGTATAAACTCCACCCTCCACCCCAACCCCCAAATCAATGGACATAATTCTTTCAAATCATCGATCTTTTGTACACTTCAAATTCAATATCGTACATATGATATTTACACGGCACTCACCTTTTTATTTTATTATGAAAATTTAGAAAATATGTACATTATAGACTATAGCACATCAATAGTACCTCTATTTTCATACCAAAAAAAAACAAAAACCTACATGCATGCATGTTATGAATCAACAAGATCCATAAAAAATAAATAAATAAATAAAATATTTATTTCATCAAGTCCTCTTTATTTATGTATATATCACCTATATTGCATGCATGTTATGAATCAACAAGATCCATAAAAAAAATTATTCATTTCATCAACTCCTATTTATATATATATATATATATATATATATATATATATATATATATCACATATATTGTTGTTTTACATAATTCTTGATATACATCAACTCCTCTCTATTTATAGGGTGATTTTGTATATAATCAATACAAAGTTACCATATTGACAATAAATCAACAATATTTATGTTAATTATAAATAGATCAATCATGTATTTGTGACACTTAAATACATTTGAATTCAGACGCTGTGTTGTAGTGTCCATTTCATAGTTTTGTTTTTTCCATCACTCACATACCTCATACATGCCCCTTTTCCATTTGGATTCAAACATTGTAATGCAATGTTTGTTTCCTAGTATTGTTTTTTTATTTTTCGATTCAAACACTGCGTTGAAGTGTCTGTTTCTTGATTTTATTTTTTTCATCAATCACATGCCTTTTATGCTTAATACCTCGCGTGACTCTTGATTTCTACATTTGGATTCATACACTGCAATGCAATGTTCATTTCCAGTTCTATTTTTTACATTTGGATTCAAACACTGCAACGCAATGTCCGTTTCATGTTTTGTTTTTTACATTTGGATTCAAACACTACAATGCAGTGTTCGTTTCCTGGTTTTCAATTGTTGATCGTAGAAGTATATGTTTTCTAATTTTGAATTGCTGACCACAATGTTTGTTTTCTGATTTTGCATCATATGTGTGTAAACAGTGGTAGAGAAAACGCGAATGTGTACGGAAATAGTTTCATGAAAAGGGAGAAAAAAAATCCAAACAGTTTCAATTACTTAATTAGCAATCGAAATTGTCAAGCTCCAAGAATTTGCAAAACTGTTTCCTCTTTGATACATCAAGTTGACTACAAAAAAAATAGTTTTTAATCCTACTCAAGTTTCATCGTTGGTATCTAAATATTTTCCTGATTTAATGAATTCTTTCTTCGAACATTTACTTTACAATATCATCACCCCATTGTCCTTTACATATGTAAAGACCTTAAAAAGTTATAGAATTTCACAGCCTTTCACATATGAGAAATCACATGCCTTTGATCTCCACAAGTCCCAACTAAACACCGGCAGTCGAACCATTGAGAATCGACGTCGCCGACTCCTAATTCTGCTAATTCCAATTCGATTTCAAAAGCTGAGGAGAGAGAGAGAGAGAGAGAGAGAGAGAGAAAGAGAGAGAGAGATGGTGACGACTCTATCAATACTAAAGACGAGGCTAGTGATAGCTGGGATGTGCGTAGGCGGGTACATAATGGGCCCATCTCTATACTAGCACTTCATGGAGGGCTTAGTCGCCGTCTCCCACTTTTCTTCTTCCTCCTCTTTTGCTTGCCCTCCCTACACCGGCGATTGTTCTTCTCACCATGTCCTCTATCCCCATTGGTAATGACATAAAACATTTGTGGCATTCATTATTAACCTATCTTTAATAATAAAAATATATCATTGATTAAATCCAAAACAAAAATACATCATTGATATATGATTAAACAGTGTTGATGCACAAAATCGGTGAGGACTTTTTGTACAACAGAAAGTGTCAGGTTTGTGACCTTCGCTAGATTGCTCTGGTCACCAATTTGAATAAGTATGTAAAGATATAGAGACAGGGAAGCAAACACAAAATGTACGTGGTTTACCCAGATTGGCTACGTCCACGAAGTATATGAGTTCTCATTAATTGTGAAGGGTTTACACAAATACATAGGTTCAAGCTCTTCTTTATGAGTTTTAGTGAATAGTTTAGTACAAATGACATTAGGGATTATTGTGGGAGAATGATCCCCTATTATAGAAGAGAGTTTTTAGCTTTGTTCTGACATTAACACGTGTCGTGTTGTGATTGGCCTCTGATATCGATAGTGTCGCACTGTGATTGGCCTTCTAGTTGGAGGGAAACTCTCATGGGTCCTTGACGGTATACTGTTGACCGGTGTTCAATGGTTTCGGGATTAGTTAAGTATGGTACAAACAAACTGAAAAATTTTTGTTGATTTTTGACTAAATTACCTTTATTTATATCACATATATTGGAGTTTTACGTAATTCTTGATATATCTTAACTCCTCTTTATTTATTTATATATTGGAGTTTTACATAATTCTTGATATATATGTAGAACGATTATAACATGTTTCTTTTAAATGACTTAGATCAAAACGACATCGTTTGAGGCAAATCATTTATAAAAAAAAACTAGATTCTTCTTCGTTATTCTTCTGCTGCGCAAACCCTGTAGCCACCACAGCATATCACTCATCTCCTCCTCCACATGCCCAGGGGCTGCTCCTCGGAGGTCCTAGGAGGTCCTCACAGCTACTTCTCCAGGATTCCGATACTTGCATCAAACTGAAAGTTGTAGTAGTTGACACCGGTGTAAACCTCATCGTCCATGTTTTATATATTCTGTTTGCCATTAGTAAGCGTGTCGCATTGAGTGTAAGAGAATGGGACATCGCACACCGTCCTGGTTGCTAGCAGACTCACCTTCACCATAGTCATTAGTGGCACAGTGACCTTGTACATAGTCTCCACCACACTTTCCGATGTCTCAGTTTCCCCCTACTGGAATACTGCCCCAAACTCAGCCGACACTTCGATTTTTCCATTTCCAATTAGAGGAACTCCGGCTTCGAAGGTGGTCTTGATGCCTAACTTGAGTGACACGTTTGTGTTCCAAACACTACTCCTTGTGTTCTTATACGAAAGCTTCATTTCTACGGTGTTTTGTTCTTCTGTTCGGTTGAGGGCCTCTCCGGTGGCCATGGTGACGACCGTTTGGTTATAGACCCTCGCATCCAAGACGCGGTAGTTGACATTGTAGATGCTTCTCGACACAACCACCTCTTCCAGTTCCAAGCGTGCCTTTTGGGTAATGGTGAGGACAGCAGCGTTGAGACAATCAGATTTCCCCTCGGTGGTGAGCCTTTGCAAAATAAGTTGTTACCCAAGTTGCGGAGAGCCAAGAACTTACCGTCAACCTTGACAGGCCAAAACAACATGTCCATGTTGTTCTCATTGTTATGAAGCTCTGAGTCTGCCCATATCCAGTTAGGGCTTCGCCTCCAGAATTTTCCATGGCGATCGGATTTAATGCGAACGCTTCCGTCCCCGGTTTGGAAGACCTCATTCCCCACCGTGGGATCTCCAATGTCATCGGACGAGAACTTTAAGTAAGGGTACCCCTCAATCCACTGCGCGCTGAGGTACTTCCCGTTGTCGCCCTTGAAGGCTATATGTTTGGGCAAAACCAACAGCGACTCCCAATCAACGATCAAGCACACATCGCACAAGTCGTTGTCAGGTGTTTCACTTCCTGCAAATAAGCAGGACCCATAGGGCGGGCCAGTGCGCCATAAGCATGCATAGTTTCGGAGCTGGACGTGACGTGAATGGACGCCTTGAGCAGGATCGTGTTCGTCCACATAGACTGGTTTGAACAAGGTGCATGACCATTTGGATTCATCCTCCTGGGGTTCGTCAGCGCCGGCAACAATCCAATGATGGGTTTGCGACCACCAGACCCAGTATTTATTGTTGTAGCAGCACCTTATGTGCACCAGTCCCTTGCTAGCTCCACTACTCTTTGCCATCTCCACTTGGAGATTTGCGTACGGACTCACAACCTCTTGTCCGGAGAATTTGAAAAAGCCATGGATCTGCACATCTTCCTTGATGTAGCTCAAGTATTTGGCGTTGTACCTTGATTGTAACACCACATACCTTGGCAATTCTGGCGCCATTATTTTTTTTCTTTTTGTTTTTTCCCTCTTTCTTACTCCTCACACTCTTTACTTCACTCCTACTCTCACTTCTTCGTTCTTCCGACTTTAGTTACAATGTGTACTACCTCGCCTATTTATAGGCAAGGTTTTGCCAACTTACTCTTCCCATTGACTTAACCACACATATTTTATGCAAAAGATCTTAGATAATTTATGCATGCATTCCACCGACAAATTCTAGGTCTTTCTACAAAATATGCATGCGTTCCACCGACAGATTCTATTCCACCGACAGATTCTAGGTCTTTCTACAAAAGACCTTAGATATTGTATGCATGCGTTCCACCGACAAATTCTAGGTCTTTCTACAAAAGTCCTTAAATATTTTATGCATGCATTCCACATGCTTTTGCTAGAATTATCTAGCATTTGCATGAATCATCCATTGTGCTTATGTTGCCTTTTCAACATGAGCTGGACCCAACCCAAGACAAAATTACAATTCAACACTGTCACCCTTCTAAATCTTTTTTTATTTTTTTATTTTTTTTTTTTGGGGATGAAAACCCATTCTAAATCTTTTTTCACCTTTACGAAATGTTAAGTTTCAAACATTCTTACCCTAGGAATATCTTTTCTTTTTTTTTGGGGGGGGGGGGGGGGGGAACCCATTCTAAATCTTTTTTCACTTTTACAGAACGTTAAGTTTCAAACATTCTTACTCCAGGATATCTTTTCTTTTTTTTTGGGGGGGGGGAATACCCATTCTAAATCTTTTTTCACCTTTACAAAACGTTAAGTTTCAAACATTCTTACTCCAGGAATATCTTTTCAATTACTGGCATCATGGCACACATGTTACTGTGTTCATTGCTTTAGACGGTTCGAAGTTGATCACCATAATATAGTTGATTTCATAGGAATTAATGTGAGATGAAAACATGCTTACCTCCAATCCTTGACTGCCTAGTTTAACCAAAGGGATTTGAAACTTTTCTTCCATCTTCAACTAATAAAAAATACTTGTGCAATGGAAAGCTAGACCAGCTGATAATATCATCACGACAAGTTACATTTTGATGTTTAAAAGACTCACATAGACATATTTAGCTATTAAATATACTAATGAAAAATGGAACCCAACCCATCGAGTAACCTCTAATCAACTCAAACTTATTCAAAACTTGACTCAAACTTGGGTTGGGTTCGACTAATTCTAGTTAGCCCACCCTAAGTTCGAGTCGTATATGCAGACGACATACAGCATGTTAACTGGCCCAAAACTTACAACCAAAGGCCAATCACACGAAGAAAATCCCCTAGGCCCAATGATACTAAGTTGACCCGGCTGCTTACGTGGCCCTGGCGACGTGTCAAGGACTTATAGCCAATCGCCACGTATCAATCTCCGTTTTCACCGTCCCTGCTTCTTCTTCCCCTCTTCAACTTCAAGCTGTCGTCATCGAGTTGAATCTCTCAGACCCCAAAACTGAAAAGACAAAAAAATGGAGGGAAGCGCGAAGGGTTTGATGCTGATTGGTCTTCTTCTCGTGAGCTTCTTCGGAAAGATTGCATCGCTATCGGTGACAGTGAACGATGTCGAATGCTTGTACGAGTATGTCCTCTACGAAGGCGACACCGTTTCGGGCAACTTCGTGGTCGTCGATCACGATATTTTCTGGGGCGCGGATCATCCTGGCCTCGACTTAATCGTGAGTTCTGTTTTTATCTTTTCACGTTTTATCCCCAAACCGCAATTGCATCGAAATTTTGCCAAATTGGGTTTTAGGGTTTATGCAGGGGACAAATTTTGTTGTGGAATGGATCTGCTTATAGATTGTAGATTTTAAATTGTTTGGTATTAAAATTTGTTAGAATTTTTTGAAGATATCGATTTTTGAACTAAAATTGGTAATTGAAGCTGCAATCTTGATGCTTGTAAGTCAAAGCCAGTTCTGAAGACTATTTGATATTCTTAGTTTATTGGTTTCGAAAATTCAAACCCCCGAATCGAAAATATTGATAACTGATAAGATTATTAAGCAAAGGTGTGCTCTTTTTCAAGTGTTTGTAGCAGCATCAAGTCAGTAGAAATAGTTCGAGTAGGTGGGAACTGATGAGAACCCAGGGAAGGTCTTGGAGAAATTGTCAAAAATAGAGCTACATTGGCTGTCTGAATATCCCGCTAGAGTCTGTGCTTCAAAAAGAATAGAAGAAGTAGTGGATCGTAATGGTGACGGTCACCAATCCTTACAGGTGTGCTTAGTAGGGAGAACCCATTTCAGATAGTCATGCCTCTGTCCATCTTGCACAAAATTTTTAAACAACCTTGTCTGTGATTTTAGTAAAACTACTGCTCAAGATTTCCACTTTGTTTCCTTCCTGGATTAATATTATTCTGTGGTAATTCATAAATTTGGTAAGTTAAAATTCAGTTTGGTTGTGTCATTCAAGTTGAAATTTATGTTAAATTTTATTATCCGAGCCTTCAAAGTATTGCTAGATTTATTTCAATAATACTACTGCATTAGACATATACTTGAGATGCTTTGTCTTATAACTTTTAGTTTAGATGTGGAGTGTAGGGGTTTGAACCATTGGGATACTGAATGCATGTAGTACTTGGTAAATAGATTATGACAATGTGCATTAGGAACCAAAATGTGGTGTTATATGAAAATATCATTTATCAATTTTATAAGAATTATTAGTTTTCAGCTGCAAATAATTTAGATCTTATTACGTTTATGTTTATATCCACCCAGTTTTTCCATGGCAGCAATTTAAGTTCTTGCTTAAATAAAGGATTTTGACATTGGATAATTGGACCAAAAAGGGGTGAGGTTCTTGTTCGTAAGAACTAAGAACTCAAAAGAGTCGGTTCATTACATACCTATTCTCTACTTTGTAGCTTGGGCACTATGACTTCTGTTTTCTCTAGCTTGGTATTGGTTGGTACTTGGGTATTGCATAAGAGTGTAGGAAATGGTATCTGGCTAGATTGGAGTTTAGCGAGCAGATTGTTCATGATTTTTGGTCTTTGGAAGGCAGTTTCGATATTTGTTTCTTAGAGATGGTGGGTTGAGAGGGATCACCAAGCATTTGAAGGCATGCAACTCTCTTTCTGTAAATGGATCAAGAAGGATTATGTATCTTTCCTTCCTCTTCTAGAGATTTTGTTTTCTTAACGTCCTTGATTTTTGTTATTGTATGCTTCTTGTCTGCATTGGCTGCACTTATTCTTTCAAATAAACTTTTACTTGATGAAAAAAATTCCTAATGGTTGTATTTTGTGCAGGTGACATCTCCTGGTGGTAATACGGTGCACACTTCAAAGGGAACATCTGGGGATAAGTTTGAGTTTAAAGCCCCAAGAAGTGGGATGTACAAATTTTGTTTCCACAATCCTTACTCAACACCAGAGACTGTTTCCTTTAACATTCATGTTGGACATATTCCCAACGAGCACAATATTGCAAAAGATGGTTTGTGAAATTCTCTGTCAATATGTTTTCATTGTGTTATTTTCTTTTCAAGTTTCGATATGCAATTTGAAGTAATTGTTGTCCTGAACGGCCAAAAGGAAAACACTTTTCCCCTTTGACTGTCAACTACTATGAATTGCTTGCTGAAGTATGTTAGTCTCAGTAACACATATGAGACTGATTTCAGTTTTATCTCTGCCCCCCTTAGATTTTCTTTAACCTTTAGATGTTTGTTTGTTGCAGAGCATCTAGACCCTATAAATGTTAAAATTGCTGAGCTTAGAGAGGCGTTGGAATCAGTTACATTAGAGCAGAAGTACTTGAAAGCACGTGATGTTCGACATCGTCATAGTAAGTTTTGGTCTGTCTTTACCAAGAAAATTGTCAATGTTGCAGTCATGCTATATCATTATAGTGTACTGCAATTAGATCTATGCCCTATTTGTTAACGGGACCCTTGCTCCCCACTTTGTGTGAGCGTATGGGAATTTCTTGAATTTTAATCCCTATATGTCCTCATTACCATATGTATCTGTGTTTACAATATCTTCTGTTTGATTTGTTTATTATTCCCTTTGCAATTCTATACTCACATGTTATGATGCTAATAGTAATACTTAGTTATGCTTTGATAAAACTGAAAATATATCTTTGCTGATAACTATCTACTAAATGTGCAGTACTGTACAACCCGCGTTTAGCTAACTTTTCAAATATTAGTTCATTAGATCAAAATTTTCGACAGCTTATTTTAGGTATTAACTGAGATGGTGATAAAGCATTGACTCATGTGCAAGTGTTAAAATTAATGCTAGACCGATGTGGACTACTTGGTTACTTTTGTGATACTCCAATGTTGTTGATTGTGTGCATATGTTATGAAGTCAAGAACTCTCACGACAACCATTTTTCAGTGGCTACCCGCATATCATTAACCTGCTTCTTATTAGCTCATGCCAGTACTAAGTAACGAAATAATGCGGTGGATAATACATCCATGTTTTAGGACCTGGTAACATGTTATGATTCTGATGACATTCTTTTTTGTGCCTGCCACAGCAAACGAGAGCACAAGGAGACGGGTTGTGTTGTATACAGTGGCAGAGTATCTTGCGCTGGCTGCTGCGAGTGCTTTACAAGTCGTATACATTCGCAAACTTTTCAGCAAATCGGTTGCATACAATCGGGTTTGAGCTGCCTGGGTCGTGTTATTGTCTATTTTAACAACAGGATGAGCCTTATAGATTATTTCAGATACGTCTTTTGTGTAACAAGTTATGAAAAGTTAATACTATTTTGGTTGACTGGCACTTTGAAATGTCATGGAGCTTCTTATTTTGCCATAAAAAAGGGAAATGAGCTTCTTAATGCATGCAACAGAATTTCCCAGAATAACACTTGCGCAAATGTTCCAAAAATAAATAAAAAATTGTTATTAGCGCTCTAAAAATCTAATTATGTAATTCAATTTTTTATAATTAGAAAGAAAAATACACTTGTAAGGAGTGCAGAATGAAATTTTTGGAGTGCTAGTGACAGTTTCCAAAAAAATTAGATCTAAATTCAATACCAAACATACCCTAAGCTATCACTGCATGTGGTTAGTTTTAACTAGATATTGAACTTATTACAAATACGACATAGTTAGTTTTAACTAGATATTGGACTTATTACAAATACGACATAACTAGTTCTAACTAGATTTTTTTTTTTTTTTTAACAAACGATATTATTTACATTAAAGGATGGAAAAGTGACCTAAGTTTCATAATGAGCTAGCAATAATGTAATTCAAATTCATTTTTGGGGAGAATCGAACCTAAAACCTCTCATTTACAAACAAATTTTAAATTTCTTTTCGTTTCCTCACAAGCAAAATTTAGATTTAGAAAAAGGTTATGAATCTCATTCCTCTTTTATTTTTCCATTTTTTTTTTTTTTTGTGACTCAAATTATTGGAAAAAAAATCCACCCCTAATACATTTTTTTTTTTTTGAAAAAGATACTGTAGCAATTTTATTCATAGATCAGGGAAGCATACAATAAAAAAAGAGGGTGTCCCGAATTGAATCTAGAGGCTCCATCAAAACCAGTTCGAACATTTTAATGTTTGTGCTACGCATAACTATGCCAAATAAAATTTATCTTTAAAATTAAAGTAGTGCTCGAAAGGTTATATTTGTATATTGATTGATATCACGAATATACATGCATATTATTGAAATAAATAAAATAATAATATAGTTTGTGTTGTAAAATTAATTCTAAGAGTAGGTGATACTTGATACAGAGAGGAACAACAAACAGAAAAAGAATTATTCAGGTGTGCGAGCATTGTATGTTCACTCTCTAATTTTATATTTTTATTTATACTAAACATGATCGACTTTTTTACCCTATAAGTAACCAAATTTATGAGAATTTGATCTCCAAATTCTATTGAAATTCTATGTTAGCTTCACACAATTATATTTTTAATAAACACACTAATTGCACTGGTATGCTTAACATAGATATGCGCGTGTGTGTATTACAAATTATAGCTTAATACAAGTAATTATTTGATATGACAAGTAATACTCCACGAGATCTTTCCTTTTTAGTGAAAAATAGTCAACTCAACTTAAATGCATTTAACCCAAATTCCAAGGTGTTGAGTTCGCTTGTCGCAATAAATAAGGTGAAATTTTTTGTAATCTTTCTAAATTTTAAAAGGACGAATAATCGTTGCTTGTCAACAGTCGTTTTCTTTAAAAGAAAATTACAAATTAGTGGTCATGAACATTGATATGCAGCAACTAAAATATTACAACTTAAAAGAACAAAGAAAGAATATTATTATTACAACTGTGTGACACTAATTATTGCAGAAATTTACTCGTAAATGTAATTGTAACCAATTTTTCCCCGTTTTGGCAAAACGAATTACAGTCAATAGCAAAGATATTCACTGGCAAGATAGGAACAAATAGTTGTAATTTGTACAAAGTAGTAAAGGCAATATTGGAACACCAAAAGTCCTTTCTAAAGCTTATAATATTAATCCGTGATTACCCATGGAAGACAAATTTTAGATCATACATCCAACTCTCTCTCTCTCTCTCTGCTTTTATCCGCCATTTCTTTGCGTGTGTTTGACTCATCGATAAACTAAGCTATCCAGAAAATGTTGGCAGTGTTCGACAAGTCGGTCGCCAAATGCCCGGAGGCGCTGCAGAGCCCTCGGTCCGGATCAGCCTCCGCCCTGAAAGATGGGTTTCTGGCGCAGCAGTTTGCTTCTGTGCATCCTTCCTCCGTCACTGTCAATCTTGGCGCTTCTGGTCTAATCGCCTACTCTCTCGACAGACAGAACCCTCTTCTTCCAAGGTACAACATCATTGAAAGATCATCTCTCTTTTTGGGAAAATCAGTGAAATGGATAATACCCTTTAAAGAAAACAACAAATTAAGACTGCCCATTTCTTTGTTTTTGTAGTTTTTGGTTGATCCGAACTCGATGATTCCTGGGTCCTTTTTTTTATTTTTTATTTTTTTGTTAAAATAAACAAAATGGAAGATACCCTTTAAAGAAAACAAGAAATTATGATTGCCTATTTCTTTGTTTTCTGTCGTTTTTGTAGTTTTTGGTCGATCTGAGCTTTTAGATTCGTGGGTCGTTGGCTTTTTCTGTGTTTGTTGATCTTAGTTTTGGTACAGATTGATATCAGTTTTTTGACGATCGGAGAACGTTGGTTTGGATTAAATCTGTTCCAGAGTGTTTTCATGGAGTTTGACCAAAAAAAAATTAAAAAAAATATTCTGTTTGATCATATGTATTTAGGCCTTATTTGTAAGAAATCGTGAGTTTGGCCATTCAATTTAATTTGTTTATCTGCTTTTATTATTTTTTGAATCTTGTAAAGGGCTTATAAAGCATGATCTGCATAAATTTGGTGATGTAGTTTTACCTCCTGTAAATTCTTTGTTTTTCTTGATAAGGACAAAGAACATATGGTTTGTTTGGTGGAGATTTGGAACAAAAAAACAGTTTAACTCTTTGGCAATATCCTCCTACTAATTTAAGTATAATTTCATACATTAATTGGACTGAGATCATAGCTTTATTGCTTTTCATTCATTTGAATGCCATTTTTTTTTATTTGTTTTGTAGTGCAGAAGATTGATTCTTATGATTTTGTTGTGGTTAATGATCAGTAGCTTTGGAATTGCATTGAAAAATTAACTCCGACTTTGTTCTCGTATCAATTTTCTCTCCAAAAAAAAAACAACAGAAGGAACCAGATTTTCTGTTGCATTTAATGTTAGACATATTCATTCATTGTATGTTGGTTAGGTTGTTTGCGGTTGTGGACGACATTTTCTGCCTGTTCCAAGGCCACATCGAGAATATTGCTCTTCTTAAGCAACAATATGGATTGAACAAGACAGCCAATGAGGTGATCATTGTTATTGAAGCTTTCAGGACTCTGAGAGACCGAGGTCCTTATCCTGCCGACCAGGTTGTGAGAGATATCCAAGGGAAGTTTGCATTTGTTCTCTTTGACAGTGCATCCAAAGCCACTTTTATAGCTACTGTAAGTAAACCTCCTTCCGTAGAATGTGTCCTCAATCGTCACTTGCCCTTCCTTTTTTACTGTCAAGTTCTTGTGATCTCTTTCTTTCCACTGGTCATTTGGTTTTGTAGTTGAGCCGACCCCTTTTCATGTGCAGGATCCTGATGGGAATGTTCCGTTCTTCTGGGGAACTGATTCTGAAGGCCATCTTGTTCTTTCAGAGGATTCAGAAGTTGTGAAGAAGGGCTGCGGGAATTCTTTTGCACCATTTCCTAAAGGTATATATAACTATAACCAAATGTATTAGGCCTGATAGAACAAAATGTGTAGCATTTTCATTGAGTCCTTTCCGCGTTGTATAATGTATCAGCTATATCTCAATCATGGAAGAATATGATGCCACAAATGTAGTATGAAATCCATAGTTTTGTGTATCGGAATTTGGAATTGATTCACATGTAAACATGTAACGGATCTTTCATCTTGCTCATTGGGGTAATCTAGGTCTTTTGTCTGCTTACCTTTCTTGTTTCACATGGCATTGCTTTCCTTTGAATCCTCGGTATGAGTGGTAGACTTCTAATAACTATGTGGGTACTGTTCTCTCAGGTTGTTTTTTCACTTCCTCTGGAGGCTTGAGGAGTTATGAGCATCCCCACAATGAGTTGAAGGCGGTGCCACGTGTGGATAGCTCAGGTGAAATGTGCGGTGCAAATTTCAAGGTCGATGCTGATACTAAGAAGGAATCGAGTGGCATCCCAAGAGTCGGGAGTGCTGCCAACTGGTCGTCAAATTACTAAGTTCGTAGCTACTTTCACTGAGAAGGCTATTAAGTAGGCCTCGAATTAGTTCTGATCTGACTTTTCTCCATCGTTTTTCCGTATTCATGACTCCGTTTGCCTTAATATGGCTACCAAAGTTTATATGGTTATTGAAAATTTGAAAGACACGATTATGTAATTGCTCACTATCAAAACTATAAGCTGTAACGGCCCTCAGAACCTTCTGGCATAGAACATCAAATAATACTGCGCCCTTGGGGGCTGATCTTTTCCCCGAAGATGCATTCAAGAACCGTGTAATGGAAGCATGTTAAAGTGAAGTAGATGTTATGATATTCGACTAGTAATTTCTAACATATGTTGTTGCTACAGCACTATGTTTATGCTCAACAAAATGAAGCTATACCTCGGAGCACAGGCAAGAGTGAACATGCTCTCGTGCGCCGACAACTCTTAAGAAAGTTACTTTGCGTATCACTAAAGTTTTGAACCAAATTACGATTATATGGATAGCATCTCCATTTGCCTCTTGTGTCGACGAAGGCCGTCAACTTCAGTCCTTTGCATCGGCAATGCCTCCTGCAGTTATCTGGAAAACGTGCATTTCTGTCAAGAATAACAACGAATGAATATAGGCAGTTCCTGCAATTTTTCGTCATCTTGGATTTACGATCATATTCTTGCTATAGATGATGAGGACAATCAGAAAATCAAAATGTAGACTCTGAAGGATATTGCTTCAGCCTCGGGCAGGTTTGGGGCATCGAACACCTTGCAGACACGCTGTTCACCTTTGCCTTTCCTGAACATCAGCCTGATTGTTGCAGCATGGGCAAGCACATGTCCTCCTGCTGGTTTCTTTGGGTCTGATATGAACACTCCACCACCAGGGTCGGCTATCACTGCACAATTATATGATTCGCCAGTAAGCCCTGAGCTTTTTATTGATTTCAAAATGATTTGAGCGCAGAAAAATCTTCAAAAGTTGGGCATTACCTTGGTTGGTCATGTACACAGCAACGTTGAACTCCTCAGCTATCTTCGTTAGTCGGGAAAGCATCTGAGCTAGTTTTTGCTGCATATAAAAGCTTTCTCATGTCAGAACAACACCAAATCTAAATCTAAGACATTGCAGGGAGTCTTTGGAGCAGACCTGGCGGTCTGCAAGCTCTCCTCGTCCTGTAAAGTCAACTCGAAAGAGGGCAATCACCGAATCCACAATCTGAAAAAACACTGACGATATGAATCAATATTCCTGGACTGTTGATATTTGTCCATAAAGAGTTTCAGGTTAGTGAAGTCTTACCAGAAGTCTGAATGGCTCTTCAGACATTTTTGCAGCCAGACCAAGAAGCAGGTTATACTGATGCTCATATGTATATGCACGAGCATAAATGATCTTTGCAGCGGAAGAAGAAAATGACACGGTTAGTTCCGAAATATAATCGCTCGCAGCTTTAACTGCTGTATATGGAGAAAATGAAAGCTTACATTGTCCAGGACAGCTCCTGGATCCAAGCCAAATCTTTCAGCTATTGGCACAATTCGATCAGGTCGGCTGCAGGTGCATATAGTTAAGAAGACAACAAACTTGAATTGAACTAAAGTGGATTTGTTTAAGCTAATTTTAATTTTGTTCATTTTTTCAATCGAAATACGCTGTACGAAATATTACAAGAGATGGACAAACAGAAAGGATACAAGGTTCCTTCAGTATCAATGTAAGCAACTTTTCCATTCCCTCCCTTCATGTTGGTGGGAAGCTGCAAAGTAATAGACATCTCAGTCAGCAAGGCTTGATGCGTATCTTCTGATATTCGAGTTAAAATTCATATTCCAATACGTGAAATCCTGGCATTACGCTTTAGAAAGTTTTGCATGCAGCAGTTCGAAAACCACAATTATCACTAAACTACACAGCACAGCACGATTATAAACGGATCATATATAATCCCTTATAGCAAATCAAAGTCTGTCATCTTAGATTCTTAAAACTAATGCAAGAAAATCTGTGAATTGCAGTCGATAGACGCTGACATTTCAAAACTCTACTCAAATCCCAGACTTATTTTCGAGTTCGTAAAAGAACCCGACAGAGTTCTACACAATGGCTAAATGATTTCCCTGTATGATAGGAAATAACTCGGGAGAGAGAGGAACCTGTGTAGAAACGCAGAGAGTATGAGCAAGCTGTGTTTTCCCACACCTGATATCAACATTTTATATGGCAGTAAAGAAGTTCGTGTCAAAATATTAGAATTGCAATTGCAAATGAAAGCTTCTTAGTTTCGATACAAGCAATGGACGGCAATAATGCATCAAAGAAACACTGCTATATATGACTAATGTCCTCACCGGAATTCTCCAAACGCTTCCGTGATTGACATAGTTTCAACTCCACCTTCATTTTATTTTCACACAAATTACCTCAAACAAACAAGTAATCACAATAAACCATACCAGATTGAATAACTAACAGCGCGAAATTACCGCCTAGGAGTTCATCAAGGGCATGGCTTCCGGTTGTAATCTTAATCACCGACTTTCTCTGTACACAAAAACAAAATTCAACTTCTCAATTTTACATTAGAGCATGACCTCTGCTCTTGATAAATCTGTGCGAGAGAAAAAGGACTTAATCTGACGGCTCAGATCTACTGGATTTGCATAGAGCCAAATCACAACTATAGCAACTGTGATCTTACTTTGATCAGAGCGTCACTTCCAGTAATATATCCAAAGTTCTGTAAAGCAAAAACATAAACGAAAAAAGTACATTACGAAAAACGAAATTAAGGCTAGCAATCACAGAAATTCAAAGAAAATCACACATGAATGTTTCGAAATATGGAAAATCTTGAGTGCTAAGTGCTAACCACTATCTTTTCAGCGGCTTCGCATATCTTATCAACTTTTGCCTCTGATAATCCTTTGATTCCAGTCAAGTTCTGCCAAACAGAAATCGGAGTAAGGAAAAGGAACTTTAACATACACAGATTAAGAAATCGGAACGGAAATTCGTTTGTACCTTCTTCGTATGCATCATCAAGCCATTGCAGGTGTAGATCCCTGCATCCTGAAGCTTCTTAATATCTCCGGCATTGATTCCCTGAGCAATCACTGCACAAAACTCGCTTTTGAGGCAAAAATGGCTCCAAATTTATGTCTACTGTGAGCATCGTATGAAACTAATTCTATTTCACCAAGAAATTAAACTTAATTACTTAAAAGAAGCGATGCTCCTAGGATTTGAGGAGTTTTTGAGAGAAATAAAGCAAATCCAACAGAAATTAACAAATGAGAGGCAAAAAGGTGAAATGGAATTCGATAACAGAAACCGATCGAGCTAGAAACAATAAATATTCAAATAAATCGAGAAAATTAGTTTACGATTTCGATTTTCCTAAAATTAAACGAGAACACTGTTGAAACGGTAGAAATCGAGAATTGAAGTACGTAATCGGAAAGTGAACGGAAGAGAAGGTCAGTGAGGAAGCTTACACTTGTCGATCGCTTCGAACAGGTCCTCTTCATCCTCAATGTCCTCGCGCTCGACGAGCTGCAGCTGCTGGCTCTGCTCTTCGGCCCTGAGCATCATCGCAGATAAAGTTAGGCTTCAATTTCAGAGAAGAACACTCGGTGACTCGAGCTGAAAGGAAGAAAATGGAGCTTTCAAATCTGCGATTTACTTGAGAGTAGCGAGCATCTTTGTTGTGGTTGAACGATTGAGTGAGTGTTTGGCTTCTGGGAAACGAGAGAGGTTTGGATTTTTGAAATGTGGAGGGATGTGAGGGAGGGGCTCTATTTAAAGGGCGGGAAGAAGGGAAGCGAAGAGGCGTCGGTTTTTTTATTTTTAATTTTGGTCTTTATATTTTGATAACTCATCAATTTAGTCCTTTAGACATTTTTTAAACATAAAATTTGAATTTGAAGGCTTATGTAGCATTTTGACATTTTTTAAAATTTTGTTCTCTACCCGATATGTCAAATTAAACTATTATTTTATTACACAATTTTATTTTAATAATTATATTATATATTTTAATTTTACATATATAAATAATTGATAATAAAAATTATTCGAATTAGACTGCAAATATTCTAAAAGTGAAATCAAAACCCCAAATATGAAGTCTTTGATTGTTTAATTCGCGGGAGGAGAGAAGGAGGGAGAGAGAGCGTGATGTGATGAAGAAGGGAGCACAGAGACTGACTGATTCCACAACAATCTCTGGAGTTTTAGGCCTTTGCGGCATCGCATTGTTTGAAAACAAAGGAAAGCGGTCAAAGTCTGAGAGGTGGGTGGAAATTCTAGGCTTCTAAGAAGAAAACTTTCTGGAAATTGGACAAGATTTAATTTTGAAATTGGATTTGGGTCATTAGGGTTTCTTGATTTTTTTGCACAAGATTAATTTCGACTGTGATTTGTGTTTTAGAAAGCGTAGAACACAGAGAAGGAGCTCGATCTCAATCCCTGTAGCTGTTCTTGATCTTGAGGATGTGAATCGATAAAAAGAAATTCATATTAACCCATCCACTTTCCTCTCCATGTTTTAGATTGAGATCGTGAGGTTGATTTTTGGGTTTGGTTTTGAGAAAAGGGAAGAAAAAGGCGAGGAGAATAGAGTAAGAGAGGAGATAAAAATAATAATAAAATATTTGAAGCTGCTGTCAAATGTGACAGCAAGCCCTTGCTGCCAATCCTTGTCATCACCACATAGGAATTGGCATTTCGGTTGGGGAATATTATTGTGGTTTTTTTTTTTACTTTTATAACCTATGTGGACATTTTGACATTTCCTTTGAAGATGCTCTTATAATTCAAACTCGTACTTTTGCCACATCATCATAAGTGGGCCATAATTATGCCACATAAGTAAACTTAACGGTTAACTACAGAATACATAAAAACAAGAGAAGGTGGAGTAAATAGTGAGTTTCAGGAATAAGGTGGTGACTTTTAAGTTTCAAAGGCAATTGAGAGCGAAATCAAGTTTTAGGGAGTAAAGTAGCTATTTTTGAGTTTCAAAGGGCAAAGTGGGATCAAAATCGAATGTCATGCAGCAGAGTGGCAACTTTTCAATTTTAGATGGCAAAATGAGATTGAAATTAAGTTCTAGAGAGTGTAGCTAAAAATAAGTAAAAAAAAATCTAGTTTTGATTGAAGTTTTGTAAAAATATTATGTGTATTTCTTTAGTTCATTTTTCTACCTTCAACACTTGGAATATAACTGCTCAAGTGAAGTTTGACCCGAAAGGTGTGATAGGGCGCTCAAGGGGGCTTCCTCTAGCTAAAACAAAAACAATTTACAATTTTTTTTAAAACAAAAGTTTGTTTCCTAAGTAGTCGTTTGATAATTATTTCATTTTTTGTTGAGACCCTTTTTTGTTGTTATTTTTTCTAAAACTAAAATTTTGTTTGGTAACTATTTCAGTTTTCAATATTCAAATAAAGAAACTGAAAACTAATTTCTTGATTTTTTTTTAAATTTGACTTTGAGTTTTCACTATTTTTTTTTGAAAACTGAAGGTAGTTATATTTTTTTTTTTTTTCATTTTCAAAAAAGTTAAAACTGAAAAAACGAAATGATTATCAAACGGCTAAATCAAATGACTAAAAGTTTTAATTTGTTTAAACAATTTCCTCCTTGCTCATGGTAATTCTACCACTCATTTGAATTGTTTCATTTTGGCATTCCAGAGTAGCTCAATTGCATTTGATTTTTATATATAGAAATCAGACAATCTAAGTTTGATTTCTATAGTACAAATTGATACATTGATATGAGTTTGATAGATATTTCTCAAAAAGTGAGTCAATAATTGGAGTCACCCTCATAAACTCACAAGTTTGATAGTATCAAACTCACGAGTTCAATATATTGAACTCAATAATTGGAGTCACCCTCATAAACTCAAATTTTCTAGTTTATTATAGGAGTTTGATTCATATTGCTGTGGAAGTTATTCTTCTCATAAGTGTTTTTGTTAAAATTTCTTTCACTATAAACACGTTGAAATTTTTACTAAATCCAAGTGATTTAAAAAAAAATACTAATGACTACTTCTTAAAAGATAACCAAAAAGTGCTTACATGGAAAGTTTGCTATGACCCATAAACACTTCTACATTTTTTCGCAAAACTCAGTTAAAAGCGCAAGCGCTTTTGGTTGTCAGAATTACTCATTCAAGACAATCTCAAGCATACCCCTTTTTGGTGTACATGTCACATGCTCCTAGACTACTTTAACCATATTTGTAAAAATATAGGTTCTCCAAACTGGTATCAAACTGTATGGGCAAAGATACTCAAAGAAAATGTCTTAACCATGAATGTAGTTTAGTCGTCTGCATGTCACAGAAATAGTCAAGCATAGAATGCCTCACTCATCGAGAAGACTAATGAAGCGACCTATTTCAACAAAAATATCAAAGATGCTTTGTTGTTCAAGAATGAGGTTAAATAGTCAGCCATAAACTCAAAGAGAATCCCTATCTATCCAGTCGGTTGAAATTCCTAATGCAATCTGATAGCTCCAGCCCAGTCTATCTAGCCGGTCGCCCTCACTGGTTGCTTTCGGAAAATTATAAATATAGTAATTTATAATTAAATAATATTATTAAATATACAATTCTAATTATTATAGGTCGTTGGATTTGGTTGAGATTTAATCTCAACTGTTCATTCATAAATAAAAACTCTCTTCAGTCACTCTCGAGTTTCGACCTCCCTTCTTGCTCTATCTCTCTTTTTACTAGTCTTCACTCTTCTCTGACCAAACACAAAACTCTCTCTCAACTCATCTCCTTCTCAGTCATCCCACACCACGCAAATCCATGCCTAAAAAGCGACTCCACTACCCACACCAGTCACACACTCTAATTCTCTCTCTCGAAAGTCCAAAATGAACTCAATCTCTCAGTCTCGGTTTGAGTCTAGACGTCATGTTCATGGAGAGGCATCATTTTGCGTCGCATCATAAACGATTTCTAGGGTTTGATTTCTACGATTCAAATTATTTTTTATGTGGTTGATTTCTAGGGTTTGTGAAAATTGGGGTTTCTGCAATTTTTTGTTTCTGGAATTGGATTTATGCAATTGGATTTGAATTTGCATTGTCAATTTGACTAACTTGAATTTCTAAGCATGAATGTAAGGGTGGGCAAGGTCTAGTTCACCCCGGTTGAACCCTTACATTGAAACCGAAATAAAAAAGTATCAACGGTTTGGTTCGGTGCAGTTCCGTTTAAATTTATTAGTAAAACCGTACCGTTTTGTTCAAGGCGGTTTCAATTGGGTTCTTATCAGTTTACAGTTTTAACCAAAATTATATGCATATATTTTCAAATCTTCTACTTCCTTGATTTTTGTGCCCCTAGCTAGTTTTACTCCACCTAGGGATGAGCAAAACACCCATGGATTTGGATAACCGCGGTTACCCGCCCATTTAAAGTTCATGAGGTAACCGTTTAGACGAACAAACGGTTATAGGTATAATCGTTTATTCGTGAAATATAAGGAAATGCATGCTAAAATGTATCTATAATGGTGTTTAACTGTCAGAAAACGAAAATTATGACAAATTTTCTTTTGTAATTTTCAAGTTGTTAAAAAAAACATGTAGACGGGTGAAAAAAGGGTAAATGAGTAAAAAAAGGATAAACGGGTTCAAAAACGGATAAATGGTTATGGTTAAATGGGTACACGGTTATGGTTAAATGGGTACACGGTTATGAGTATGATTAACCATTTATAAACGTTTAAGGATATGAGTATAACTGTTTATGCAATTATCCTATGGGTAAACGGTTATAAGGATATGAACATAAACAGTTATAGGTAAATAACCACGATTATCTGAATGCCATAACCTTTGCCCATCCCTAACTTCACCCTAGTACCTAGCTAGACCATGCTATACATACACAAATCTGTGCCAGCAAGAAACATAAATCCAAATAATGACTAACAATACTACTTCCTGCAACACTCTTAAATAAAATAAATTCTAATATTGTTAAACCATAACATCAAGCAAAGCACATAGGGAAGAAAACTTATGTTTGGGGCATTATGAGATGGAGGTTGCGTGTTAAAGAGTTTTGTAAATTTCATATGTCAGCTTTAAACAAGAGGGGTCTAGGCTTATAGGCTTGGAATTAATTAAATTTCATATGGGCCTAAATATAAAACGGGCTAAGGTGAGTTTGATATTAAAAAAAAAAAAAACAAACGGTTAGATCCGATTTTGACGGTTTTGTAAAAATAAAAATAGGAACTGGAACTGGTTAGAATGGTTTGGTTCAGTTCTTGAACTTATGTTGGCATTTATTTTTTTTTAACAATGTTGTCACGATTTATCTTGTCTGACTTGATTCGGTTTTGCAGTTTCATGATTTTATGTCACCCCTACATGCATGTCAATTAATCTTATCCGAAGAGGAAGGAAGCAACCTTATATGTATGGACCTCTCTTTGAAAGGAGGAGAACACCCTTACTTCGTAGTTCATCTACTTTCTGAACGGTATTGAAGTACCGAAATTTTTTTGGAAATTCTAGAATTCGGAAATATCGAGGTTCGGCTTCACCTTTCGAAGTCATCTCCCAAAAAGAATCGGTTCGAGATTCAATATAACGTTTTCAAATAGGTTCTCGCCCCGAAATAACCCTGGTTCAGAGGGGCAAACGGTTTTACTCCTAAAAACAATATGTGAATGTCATTTCCTTTTGCCAAGTACTATTTAATGCACAAACTTTTTTTTCCCAAAAATTTCGTTTATAAAAACCCAATACGG